CTTTCGCCGCAGCTGAGCGTGTTGATTCAGCGGCTGCGAAATGCGGAAGCCGGCAAGAATGAGACACTGCAAGGAGTGAGGGAGGTGTTGCAAAAGTATTTGGCCAACTTGGAAGCCGAGCGACGAAGTGAGAGCCTTGGGATGTTCATTTGGCAGAGTTTTCCTGTTTCCTCACCTGGCAAAAAGGACACGCAGACCTGTTGACTCCAAGCAGAACCGGCCCAATTGGAGACCCTGGATGGAGACTCTGGATGACCTGCAGTTGATGTCATGGTCCGAAACCAAAAATGGAGGATGCTTTCATATTCTTTCACGACTTTCCCAGTACCAGGCAAACCACAATGTCATTTGTCAGAGGGGGTTCAAAAGACTAAAACCAAAGACGGACAGACGTCACCGAGGGCTCCTGGTTCATCCGAGACCGGAGCATCATTTCTCAGGATTGAACACGAAGGCTTCTGCCAGAAGGAGCTCAGCCTCAACAATCGCACCCGAAAGCAGAAAACGGCGAAGATCGAGAGCCTCACGGCGGGGGTTGCCATGTGTCGGAAGGGTTTTTGATGCGTTTCGCAAGGTTGAAGAAGCCTGGTCTCTGTCCCGAGCGCCCGTACATGTTCAATGCTGTTTTCATTGCTTGGGAGTTGCAGATGGTTTCAGTTCTTCTTCTCTTGGACCTGCCGCCATGGAGGGTCCAACCCGTTGAGAAGTACCGGTGAAGTGGGGGCCTTGGCCCCCAACCACGATTCGTGTGGCAGCATGATCGAACTCTTCCTGCCCGGCAGAATCAGATAGATTGTGGATGCCTAAGTGCCACAAGATAGGTAAATCCGTGCATGATATAAAGAAAACCAGGACCACGGAAGGGGTGGTTATTGGATGGGAAACACACAGTCAGAGCGTCCATAAGCCACCCTTTTCGTGGTCCTGGAATAAGATATACATCATGTATCTTCATTTGGAATGAGACCAATCACATCCTCCACAAAGTCAAAGTAACCGAGGCAGGGGGTTTATGGAGGATCAGAGGATGATGGGTTACAGCTACACGACAGAAAACAGACCATTTAAAAGTTTCCGGTGGGATGTTAGACCTACCCAAGTGAACTTTCTTCTTGGGAGAAGCCGACCTCCACAACTTTTTTTGTTTTCTGCTTTTTCTCTTTGATTCATTTGTCGCCTACACCTTAAGATGGCTTAAGCATCCCTGCCGGACCGATCTCTGTCGCCCGAAC